ATTCTCTCGAATAGCAAAGTTTTCCATAAAAAATTGAAAAATGATTTTTTATGATATTTTTTATTTATTCTTTTCATGTAAAATCGCTTCTCATTTGCATTGTGTATAAAATTATATAATTTTGATATAACTCTAATATAAAGAGATAAATAAAGGTCGATGGATTGATCTTTTTATCTTGAGATACGTCGCTATCTAGAAATCAACGTCGAAATCAAACTCGAATCAGTTAACGATCAGAAACATTTTGTTACTACAACTGAAGCTTGATCGATTGATATTCACGGTAATTCTGTGAACATCAATTTTTTTTACCCTATGTGTCCAGTCATGAGAACTAGGATCGTCAAGGAGAAAAATTCAGGTTCTCCTCGTCGTACGACGTATTTTACGACGATGACCTCACGTGTCCTTCCACTATCTTCCTCCGGGCATCGTCGGTAAAAAGGACTGTTAATAATCCACCTTGCTTTCTCATTCTGCTCAACGAAACATGTAAAGTGTTCGATAATTAACAATGTAATCAAAAAAACATGATCACATGTATAATTTTATTTATATTACTATATATCATATAATAATGTATATTTACATATTACCATATAATTTTATAGTCTAAATTTTATTATCTTAAATCTTAGAAGGTATCATTAATCTTTTTAAGGTCTATGAATTCACGAACCTTTATCCGATATATCCTTCATTTATATGGCTTTATTTTTTAATCTTTAAATAAGTAGATGGCTTGCTCGGAATACCCCAATTTTTTTTATTTTTATTATTATATTTTTTTAATATGTATAAAGTTAAAAATTTACATTATTTATATCCTTATAAGATACAGGAATGTAAAAATAATGAACTTTAAAACTTCTGGACAATACTTTTTATTTTTTTTTTCCAAAACGAAGTTCTTAAGATTAACTATGCCTGCAGTCATCTTCTTAGGTTAAAAAAAGGTTAAAAAAAGTTACCACAATTGAAATATTGACTAGAGGAAATAATATTAATCGTGTCATTTTATAGGTGTGAGATTTTATTGTCACACTGACATAATTAATTACAGTACTAACTTTTATGCTATAAGATCTGATCGATATTGACTCGATTGTTAACTCTAATTCTACAATTTCCTGAATTTAAACTTTATTTAGAAGTGAAAAATTATTTTATTATTGGGGAGATGTACGATAGGGGAATTCATTCATTTTTATTTTACACATACCTATTATTTGGATTTTTAAAATTCTATCACTCCTCTAATAGCGTGGGAAAATTTGAAAGAATATAATACGGTGTACTTAAAATACACACGTTTTTAATGGCCATCTAAAGGTGGCTCTCACTCAATCGAGAGAATACTTTGTATAGCCCACGTCGCGCATGATAGTCACGTGGATTACAAAAGCGTCGGTGTCATTATGCGTCGCGACGCGGCGCGGCGCGTCCCAGATATCCCCCGCTCGCGTCAAGCGGTGATTTCGACGAAGCCGAAGGAGGAGACTTCAACGCCGGCGTACACGCGATCCCACGCTCGTAGATGCGTATCTCCGCGTCTGCCTTCTCGATCTTACCTTTGTTTTGGCCCGTTCGCGTTGCGTTTCCTGCCGTTTTCTATTTTGCGGTCCCTTATTCCGTTCGACTATTTTTTTTATCGTAATCAAGTGCCGTTTGGAGCACAAAGTCACTTTGGATTTATTGGAAACAGAATATAAGGAAATCTAACTGATCGATTGTAATCGCGCTGTGATTCATTTGGAAAATTAAAAACTACAAACTAATTATTTTTTTACTTTAATACATTTAATTTTTTAAGAATAAGTAACTTTTTTTAAAAATTGCTTACATTAAAATTTTAAACTCTGTCTTTAATTCCTTTGTAGAATATTTGCGCGTATTAAAGTTTTTTTTAGATATATAAAAATTAAGATCAGGAAACGAAAAATGTTTTAAAATATTTTAGAAATTCAAAAATATTCACAGAACTTTGCAACTAGAGGTCCTTTATTAATACTTATTCAACTAGAAAAATTCAAAAACTTATCTTTTATATATAATATAAATTTAAATTTAGTTTAATTTAAATATTATTTAATTTTTAATAAATTATATTAATTTATAATAAAAAATTAAAATTCATTTCTTCGGATAATTAAATTCCATCTTGATTGGTTTATGCTGTTTGCTAAGTCCAAGTTTATAGGATTCTAAATTAAGATCAAAATAGCGAGGAATGTAAGCTCGCGGATTTCGCTGGCGCCAGAAATAGCGGGTTAAATGACGCTTTTAGACGCACTTTTATTTGGCAATTACATGTCCAGCGTGTTTATGTCCGTAGATAAAGAAAGGGGCGAGTCATGTCTTTGTCCCGCGGCGCGTTTTCTCGAAAAACGAGCGTCGATTCTGGACACTCCTCACCCGGTGCGCCAGACCGGAGTTGAGGCGATCAAAATTCCTTCCACGGTTTCCCCGGACGAAAATAACAGATTCATCCAAATTCCATGAGCGACAAACGACGAGAGGCGAATCCCCTCATCTCTTCCTTTTTTCTTTTTCTGTAGCTCTGCCATAAGAATCTCTAAACCAACATAAAAATCGCTCTTAAAATCGGCGACTCTGACCAGTTCATTAGGTATCTTTTTTTTTAGAAACTTGAACTCGGGCTTTTATAAAATGTATGTGTTTACATTTAAATTATATTATACACTTACAATTGAGTCGTTTGAGATTAAAAAAATTTGACTCAGCAGATTTAAAATCTTACAGAAATATTTAATACAATACCTTTTATAAAATAAAGATAAAAATAGGAATAAAATTTTAGAGAAAAAATTTTATGTACTATTTTTAAAACAAATTTTCCATTTCTGAGCAAAATTTTAAAACTAAACTTGCCTAAATTTCTTAATAAAACATTTCTTCTTTAATTTTCTGTAATATTTTCCTTCGTACTAATTTCATCAACGAATGATATGAAAAAGGAAGTTTAGGTAATGATTGTAATTATCGCCTTTGAGTGTTGCATTTTTTCGTTCCTTCAACCTCGATTTTTCAAATATCTGGATCCACGCGGAATCTGCATTCATGAACGTGACTAGTTTTTATTTTGGTGACACGCGGAACGATCTAACACGCGCAACACACGCGCGACACGTTTGCCATTACCGCAATTTTATAGTTAATTAATACCGTAACGTGGTCGCGGTATCATGAACAGCTGGAATTTTTCACCAATTATTTGTTTCGCAGGCCGCAACACCGCCGCAGTGGCGATTCATCACGTAAAACGGATATATTGTGGTCAATTTTAAGCGAGAAAACCGATTTCTCGAAACGTCAACGAAAGTAAAAAGACACGTATGAAAAGTGAATGAAATTAGTTGAAACATGAACCTTCTTGCTGATTAATCTAATTGATCTTATTTGATTCATTCAAATCAATTTAATTCTATTTTTCGCGTAATGTTTATTCTTAAATATTGTATAATTAATATGGTGTTAGTTTAATTTATATACAATACGTGATATGAATTAATTAAGCAAATCATGTAGCATAAATTAATTAATTGATAGATAATTAATTATTTGCACCCTTGACTCTAGTTTTTACAATTTTGTATTTTTACATAGGCGTTACAAGTTACAAGGCATTTCTGCTTGAGTTCTGCTCGGTATTATGTTGAGAATGATTTCCGTGTTTGCTCAGCGAGATGCGCGCAAGAAAAATGCAATTTTGACGATAATCACGATCGCGCACTTTCTCCTTCGCAACACCGCGCACTCATTTGCATCATATCGTAATTTTCCATCGAAAATAAGCGCGAATACGTATCATACTAGCTTTTCAAGAAACTTGTTATTAAGTAACGATTTCCTTGAAAATATTTCCATTAATCGCGATCACCGGCGTGCGATAAGCGCTTACAGGGTGTCACGAAACTATTCGGCGATATAGCGGTGTCGTCACTCTGGCTCTCCTCGTGGTGACGAATAAAAATTCCGAGGAATCGCATTTTTGAGCCTAGTTTGAACCGAGTATATGATATGAGTATTTCCTTTCGAAACAGACATCGTGGGCGATAATCTCCGGCGCGATTGATGAATCTTCCTCGACGCGAATGGAGCACGGAGGCTGCGTCATCGCGAAGATTTCCAGCGCACGAAAGAGGCGACGACACCTCCATCGTCGTCGTCGTCGTCGTTAAGCCGCGTGTAACTCTACGAAGATTACACGCATCCGGAACGCGCGAGTGGCCGCGAACGACAAAGCGGTGTTATACGGCTGGCTCTAACTATGATTACGCGTCAACCGCGTAGATCGTCTTTATCCGTCCCAGGATTCCGTTTTACTCCGACTTTCATAGTTACGATTTACCATAGCAATAACAGTTATCCCTAATGATCGAATCAATCATCTTGGAAGGAATGTTATTCCGCAATCCTGTGATCTTTCAGAAAACACAGAGAAACGTGCGTGTGCCTATGCGAGAAAATATACAGTATGTTCACCAATGAGAATCCATTCCTTCGGAGTGAATTCATTGTTATTATTATCATCATCGAAAGACGTTTATTTTATGAACATATTTTATAAGCTTGAAACTTTCGAGAAACACGATATTTCGTGTATTCATTTAAAACGATGTGATGGCTTAATTAAAATGGAGTCTCATCCATTCCTCCTTCAGATCGATACGGCGTAAAACGAGGCTCGATCCCCGAAAAAGTTCACACCTCGCTGGCCGCATATAATGCAGCTCGCTGCACTTTCGCAACATGGATAAATATATACCTGCACGAAGCTCACACGCACACTCGTACTCGCACACACGCACACACACATACACACACATATACACACACACATACACACCCATACAAAAACACACACACACACACATACGCGCATGCACACGGGCAATCGTTGCACCGAGAACGTGTACCCACACTCTACTGCCCACACGCGTGTGTACGATACCGGAACGAAGCGAGTGACTAACCTCTGGGAATAGAAGAGACGAGGAGATCTCTGCCAGGTTAACTCCTCGTAGAAACCAAGTCGGTTGAGTTCTCGGAGGATCAGAGATTACGTTGAGTGTTAGGAAAATTCCTTCGAATAACGTATACAACGCGGTTTGTCGGATGTGCAGGTGCTCCGGAAAAGGTCGTTCACTGATCGAGGGTCATGTGCGCGAACGCATCCTGGACGACGCGAGGAGGCGTCGTCGCGGCTCTGCACAGGTATCCACGCAGGTGCGTCGATGCGGTGGCCATACGACTTTTATCGAGTCTGACTTAGAAACTAATAGATGACTGCTGACTTGATCCTTAAGATGTAATTTATCCCGATTAATATCGGATACAAAGAGTATTGGCGTTCTAAATCTTTGAGATGTAGTAAATCTCTTGATTCTTTTGGCCGCAATCTATCCGATCTTGATTCCGTAAAGCAAGACAGCCTTTCATCGAGTTCTTAGGGTATAACGGATCTCTTGACTTTGCGAATCCTCTTATAAATGTAAATACTTTGAGTCTTGAATGCTTAAACTACAACAGATTTTCTAATTTTTAAGTTTTAGAATGTAGATCCCGACATCTTTTGAAGCCTTGTGTATATAAAAATTTTGATTCTTCGATATTTTAATTGTAACAGATCCTGACTTTTGGATCTTTAAGTTGTAACAGACAATCTTGGCTTTTTCCACGGGATGGAACCGGATTTATTTCTGACTCTCTTCAACACTATTCGTGCTATTCTCTTCAGCACTCGCGCGAGACGCGATATATCGAGTCCGTATTCTCGATAATCGATTTAGGAGCCACGTTGTGTCTCTGAAAGGTCGAAAATTCGAAAGAAGCGAATATCACTCTCACTCACGCGTACGCGTTTCACGAAATTTCGATATCGCGAGGACGAATTTAGACACCGTGGTTCACGCGTCCCTCTTATCTCGATCCTTTCACGAGCTGGTGCGGACGGAATCGATCCTTCCGAAGAAGTTCTTGAGAATCTGCGGTCGCCGGACGCGACCAGCAATCAGTGGTACCAGCTGTTTCGTGGACGCCGTCGTATGCGGCCGTAAACCGTATTGCTCGCCGGCGACCGAACGACTGTAAGCGCTATAGAGGTGGTGGAGCAAGACGAGGAGGAAGAGGAGAAAGAGGAGGAGAAGGAGAAGGACGAGGAGGAGGAGGAAATGGTAGGGTAGGTGAACACTCCAGGAGAAGGAGAGCTCTCTTCGCGGCGGGCGTCCTCTTCCACCTCGCCGCCGCGATCGTCTGGTGATCCTTAGTCTACCAACTTTAAGTCGTCGCGATGTTGTCTTCGGCCACAACGATGACGATGATGACGATCGGTTTTGATAGTAAAATAATTCACCAAAGCCAGCACAAAGAAAATATTCGGAAGATTCACAAAGGAGCGCTCTCTTGCTTCTTTCTCTTCTTTGGTACGTCAGTTCAAAGTCGTGATCACGCTGTGGGTTTTTGAAAAATGACTATCGTAATGGTTATCGTAATGACTTCAACAGCAAATAGATAAATGTCTTAAAAAGCAGAAAGGAATACTTTATTCCTTCAATGCGCCAATTCGGGGTCGTCGTAACGTCAATGTCACGTTGACTATGTCGACTATAGAATTCTAAGTAGACCCCATTGAAGGCACCGAGAAACACGCTACTCGTAGAACATTTTCCAATTGAATAGGTCACTCGGGAATTAAAAAAAAAAAGATTTTTGTCTAAGTTCTAAAAAAAAAAACTTATCGATGTTGAAAAGCTTGAACTCCAAATCTGAATCACACAAGCTCGGAACCTCTTCGGAGGTTCGAGGACCGACCGAGAACTAACAAGACGAATGAACTCGACGGGATTGCGTGCGTGTGCGATAGGACAAAGAAGAGAAAGAGAGAAAAAGAAAGAAAAAAAAAAGAGAGAAAAAGAGGACAACGGCGACGTCGCGACGCGCGTCGTCGGCGAGGTGAAGCAAATCACTGATCGGTCCCCGTTGTTGCTCTATGGCGTGCATCATGGCGTGGACTTCCAGCGGTATAGCTTGCGCGGGCTCGAGCGACGAGGAGGGTTCCGAGGGTGGGAAGTGGGAGGAGGGAGACGATCGGACGCGAGGGCAGGAGAAAGATGGAGTGGTGACAGAAGCGAGAGAGTGAGAGGGGAGCACGTACTAGGTAGGTAGGTAGGTATGTATTCCGCCTCGGGCGACTCCAGGTATAGCGGTACTTGGGGACCCCTTTCCTCCCAGGACCCGCGTTTGCCACCCTCCCTTCTTCGTGCGGCACCGCGCGACCGCCCTCCTCACCTCTCCTCGTCGACGCGCACAAAGGTTCTCCAACCGGCGTGGCGCGGCGCGGCCTCCGCGGCGGTTCTCCGCACGCTGCACGTGTCACTAACACGAGCCCGGGACTCCATCCGTCCATCGGGGCCCGGCGCACGCTCGCGCGCAACGCGGGGGAACCGACTCGCCGCGCCGACTCGATGCAGCTTCAAGGACGTGGCTTTTCGGCCTAAGCCTAGGCGCTTTGACCTACTGCCGCCGGAGACTTGAACGAGGGGTTAAGACATGTTCATCGAGTTCATCGAGAAGAAGGAAGAACTAGGATTATCAATCATCGTAAATGCTTACCCGAGAAAGATAATTGATTAATAGAGAGCGTAGCAAAAGTCGTACTAGTAATAGTAATGGTACCACTAATAACATACTACCCAGAATACAGTTTGTAGAAATTGTTTATATTAATTTTTCAATTTCTTATCGTACTTTCTCTCTAAACTTTCTTTTTATTTTTATTCTTATAGACGACATATATGATTTTGAATAAAACATTTAAAACAAGTTTAGGCTAATATAAAATAAAAATTTGACAACTGAAATAAAAAATATTGTAAAATTGTAATTTTTGGGGGATTTATTTATACAATAATAATTTCCACAAAGTTAAAATTAGTCCGAAATTGTGTTTAAATTAATATAATTAGAAAAAATTTTAGTTTTTTTGGAACGATTTTTATATGTATATACATTTTAATTGACATCAAGTTCCAATTTTTTTATTTTAATTTCATTCCAATTTTAATCTGAATTTCTTTCATAAGAAATTCGTCGTTTTTAATCTTTTCTTTCTAATATAATCTATTAAGATCTGTTATGATTTATTAACATATTTAGTAATCTAAAATACAGTATTATCTGTAAACCCGACAATCATTGATTTGTGATGATATACATATCTCGAGAAACGAGTACATTTGCGAGAAAGGTTTGTTTGTATCTCGTAGAGACGCAAAAAGAATAATATAAATGCAATGCGCATAAGTAATCGATCAACCGGCAACAATTTATACCCAGCTTCGTCGCGGAATTCATTCGCACTTGCATGATTCGCGATGTTTTCTTTCGCCACCGAGATCCTAATAACATGATAAGATTTCAAAGCAAAACCGTAGAATTGGTTTCGCGAAATCGCAGAATATTATTAATATTCATCTGCAATCTAGATATTTTTGTCTCTGGCCCCATTTTTTTTACTGTTCTAGATTTTCAAAGAAATTTGGAAAAATTCACAGCTACTTTCGAACATCTGTTACATTACTAAAAATTTTTACTCAAATGTTAGAACTTTTATTTAATAAAAATTGAAACTTCAGCAAAAGTAAAGGTGAAATTTAAGATTGAAATTTTGCTTGTGTCAAAAAAAATAGATTGCAGATGGAGAGTTAAAATCACCAACACTCCAACAACGAAATTATTTTTATTTTTATTGAATTTTTATTGTATATACAAAGAAATTAAATCGTTGCATTTATTGTATTAATACAATTTTCATCTTCAGCGAGAAAAAGAGGGATGAGAGTTTTGCTTAAAAATTCCTTGAGGTTTACGGGGTTTATCTGCTTTGCAGGCCGCGGGCCCGATTCCAGGGTTAATCGGATAAGTATCTTTTTTCCCGTCGAAACCTACATTCCGAGAGATCCGGATCCACGTTAGAAATGTGGATCTCATTGTAGCGATACTGTAAGTTTGATCGCCGGGAGATTGATTCGTGCCGGCCGGCCGGCTGATCGCGGAAAAATGGCAGGAGAAAGAAAGCCCGACTAATAACGCGGCGGCAGCAGCGGCCTTGGAAAAATGCCACCGCCGCAATACAGGCCGTGCGGATGATGGAGCGCAGGAACGTGCGGAAGAACCGCCGCAAAAAGGAAAAAGTCGACGAGTTCTGATCGATGATGTCAGAAGGATGCGCCGCTTATCGACGTCTGCACGTGCGCCGAGATGCTGCAATTAAGCCTCCTCGTTCTCTCTTTCTCTCTCTTCAGTAACCCACCCTCGTCCCGCGTAGCACGTGTACACCCGTATATAACCACAATCAACACGAAGTCATGCAAAAAAATAAACGACTTAACGACGATAAGATGGAAATTGTTCCGATTAATAATAACATTCCATTAACATAACTGACCAACGCAATTTCTTGTTATTCTAATTGTAAGTCGAGCCTCGCGGAATCTGGTTTAAATTTTATTCAGAGAATTTGAAACTATTTATAGCTTCTACATTATAAGTACTGTAACATTTGTAATGAAATTTAAAGTTTGTTATAACAAAATTAAAGTATAGCTGTAATTCAATTTATAGCAAAATTTTAATTTCTTATTATTGTACTTAGAGATCCTCAAGAGATTGGGTACGGTTTAAACAACTTCTGATTAGTCATATTTTTCCATAGGTACATATATATCTCATTCCTGAAAATGACGGACCAAACTGCAAACGTATGTCCATCTCTTATTTGAGGTGTCCATCTCTAATTATATCCAGTGTATCCTGGTGAAGCTCATTAAAAAATTATGAGTATTTGATTGCATCCTGTCTGCTAATTACGCGTATAAAACAGGGGCGCAAAAGCAGTGAGTCTCCGCTGGAGTCTCCAATGAAAAGTCTTCACTGGTAACTCTCTCTCTCTCTCTCGAAAGTTATTCTTCAAATCATTCTAGGCCTCAGAATTTGAACAAAAATCCATGAATTTAAATCT